GATTGTCTGTAAGTGAATAAATACTCATTTGCGTTTTAGGTTATTGATTCCTATGCGATCAAGCGTTAGAAAGAGTGCTGTAGGATTTTGCGCTTGCTGATTAAGGATTTATTCAGTAACGCAGTGATTGCATCCGGTTTTTGAAATATATTCTCTCATCGGATTTTGCTTTTAGTATGCCTTCTATCCTTACTATCCATCGATATTTTGCTTCCTTGATATACCTTTCCCATCCAACGCAAGTCAGCCAGCAGGCAAAGGCTGTACAAGCCCTGAAGTCTATGCCACTGGTGTTTACTTATACCCACTTTGTACCATTTTAACCAACAGGTAAATATAAACGCGTGTTTGCGATTGGCACAAAGGGAGTGATGACGCGCAATGGTTCCACACTGCAGGTGACCAATGCGTGGGCGTATGAGGAGAATATCGACACGGCAGCCGAGTTGTTTTCAGATATTGCACCGTCCAGCAAAGTGAGCGACGAGTTTATCATCACGCTGAGAAAGGGCAGGAAGACGACACAGATGACCTTCAGCAGTGAGCATCGAGCACACATACTGACGGAGGCGAACAAGCACAGGAACAAGTATGCAATGAAAGGTGTCAGGTTCCTTTGATTGTATGATAACTTCAATAGGATACGAGTATGAGCTGTATGCGTTGCAGGCACATAAGTACATGACGTGGATGTTTAATGGGAATGTCTGAATGCATTTGGATATGTAAATGTGCCGCTTTCGAACAACTATATGAATTTCTATGGCAGACGCTGGGAGGCTGGCTGAATGCCACGAATGTTCTAATTGCGCCGAGTGTCAATCGTCTCGTAGTAAAACCCGCACATGACATACTGCGCTGAGTCAGATGAGAGTGCACGACCCAGCGCTTGGTTAAGCATGTCCGGCACACTCGTCACTCATTCTCAACGCACCACTAAAATGTTATTATGTGAGTATCGAACGAATTCAACTTTCGTGCCCAGCTTGTGGCAATGTGCATGAATAAGGCATTAATGTTGGTATTTAAAGAAGCATCTGAACGTGCCGGGTACACCCTTCACCCGCTTTTCTCCAGGTTTGTCATGGATTCCAAGTCCAAGCGCGACATTCCCCCGGTATATCGTGCCAAAAAGTGGAGATGGAGTGAGGCACGCGTGGATGTTCTGCTAAGTGTGGGGCCGGCAGGGCTTATGCAAATGGATGCGCAAACACAGAAGGTACTAGCCACCTACTACTACAAGGATATCAAAGAGATCATACAGCCGGCAGATACTCCGGGTGGCATGGCTGTTTCGTATGGCACGCAGGTGCGTGACGGTCGACATGCAAGACGTATTTGTTCTATATGCTGTGTGGATATAGGATAAAAGCACATCTACTACTCGTTGGTGCGGCCTTATCTGCTGGGTGTTGTTTGGACGAGATTGTATTTCCATATGGTGCAAACACGAGTTGCGATTACGTAGTACATATCTGGCAATGATTGCGATTAAGGAATGTGTTGGTACATGCGCATATCCTCACGTGTACTGGTTTTGGGTCGCACCACAGGGCCGTTTGCACTTCTTCATATGCGATAAGAAAGACGAATTGCTGGCTCAGATACGCGAAAAAGCGGTCACGAATATTGGCGTGGTGGTGAGAGCGAAAGGAGGCGACACATGGACGCTCAAGGTAGGTTATGCTCAATAGGCGTCTAATTTGTCACTGATATATATATGCAGGTTGGCCTCATGTGACTGACTTCTTAACACTGATATTTACCACATATGGCGTCTGCCACGATGTACACGGATTCTGGCATCCCTAGTGATGTATCAGAGTTCGACTTTGTACTTTGTCGTGTGCCTGCCTAGATTGTAACTTTTCTTCAGAAGGTATGTTAGCTTCATGGAATTCTAATAATTTACCTGTACTCATCATCGTGCCGGTATCCATACGTCCCTGTTTTGTATATGTGCACAGTGAAAAATGGGTAGTGTAATTGAATACTCACCTCAGCCGAGCATTCCTCGCACATCCTCGGCAGGTGCGCGATCTGCGCGTGCGCCTTTCAAGCACTGGTCAGTACTAGGAATTTGTTAATCTATTTGATGAGGCAAGTATTACTTAAACCTTATACACGCGGGTTCAGGTGCATTTAGACAACCCACACAACCTACACACCTTACACTGCACCTCTTTCTAGGCATTCCTGATCTATACACCTTCACATGGCATGGTCCTGTCCCTCACACCTCACACAGCGCGGCAGTGCATGAAATTTCACCTTTTTGCACACAACACTTGTCTCATATTTCCCTGCGCAGCACCTGCTGCCCAATCTGCTGGGATCGTGCAGCAGTGAGGAGTGCATCATCTCACTGAGCGAGTTCACAGTCAAGAAGCACTCCAAACGCCACGCGACTCTTGTCAACCGCACCCTTTGTTTGACGGAGAAGTGTGTGGTAGAGAGAGATCCAGCGTCGTACAACGTCGTGTGTGCAAGGTGTGTTTGTGTGTTTGTGTGTGCACAAAAAAAATATTTGTACACCAACAGGTTGCATATAATGTGTTTGTTCATGCAATAGGCATCTGCGTGGCTGTTTGCTACGTTGGATGCTCGAGATGTGGGAGCACGACAGACTTGAATAGGGTGTGTGCACGGCGAGTCTGTTTGTAGATCTCTCACTGCGTAGGGTGTGCAAAACTTGGGTGTGTGGGTATTCCAATGAAGTCTGCGTTGTACAAGTATTTGCAGTTATATATATATATATATATATATATATATATATATATATATATATATACTACACACACACACACACACACACACACACACACACACACACACACACACACACACACACAC